TTTTTTTTTTTTTGCTGCTCTAAGTATTCTCTGTCTTTAGCTTTTGACAATTTGATTACATTGTCTTAACTTGGATTTGAGGTTCTTAGATGTATAGATTCATTCTTTCCTAAAATTTGGTAATTGTTCAGCCATTCTTTCTTTATGTATTCTTTCTGCCCCTTGATCTCTCTCGTCTTCCTCTGGGAGTTCCAGTATGCATATATTGTTTACTTTATGGTGCTGTATAGGCGTTTATTTTCCTTCATTCTCTTTTTGCTCTGCTTCTCAGACTGGATCATCTCAGTTGACCTGTTCTAAAGCTCACTGATTCTTCTGCCTTCCCAAATTCTTTGAAACCATCCAGTGAATGTCACTTCAATTGTAGTACATTTTAGCTTTCCAGAATATTTTTCTCTTGTGTTTTTCTAATTTTTATCTCTGTTGAGATTCTTTATGTGGAGAGCATAATTCTGAGTTGGATTGTTATTTCAGTTATTTGAACATTTTATTAAGACAATTTATTTTCAGTCTTTGTTCAGTAAGTCTGACGCTTGAGCTATCTCAGGAATAGGTGCATTGACTATGTCATACTTTCTTGTTTCTTTGCATACCTCTTAATTTTTTCCTTAAAAACCAAATATGTTGAGTATTGTTGTTGCAACTCTGGAAAGCAGATTCTACCCACAGTGTCCCCTTCCAGTTCTGATTGTTGCTGCTTTTGGTGGTAGTAGTGGCAGCTTGTTTAGTTGAAAGTCAGACGTGGGAGCTTAGAGTCTTCTCATGTCTTTTTCTAGTCTTTTCAACTCTCAGGAATATGTGGGAGCTTTTTGAGAACCCTTACCCCTCAAGTATCTTTACCCTTCTTTTTTTCCCCAGGCACTTTAGAATTTCTGTTGTTTGCCTAATATCTTTTACCACAGATGGCTGTGCAATGGATAATACATTTGACTTTATATACTTTTAACAAACAGAGCCTGGGAACCTATTTGTGTTCTGGGGAAACTCTCATGCAGGTGAAATAAAGACAAGTCCTACACATGTCCTCACTTTTTTTCAAATAAGACCCACATTGTGCTCTGTGGCACCAGCAAACTGCACCAGGATCTTAGTTTACTGTTGCCATTGTAGCTGCTGAGATTGGGTTGGAGGGGTTGGAGGCAGGTGGAAGTTATGACAGCATAGACAGCACAATGCTCTTTTACCAAAATTTAGAAATTACTTTTTTTTTCTATTAAATGTTCTGGTATTCATAGTTTCTGATTCTATTACACAGTATTGAAAATGCTTTTGTTCCTGGTGGGGAGAGGCCCTGATCCCCACCTGTTGCTTGTGGGAGTGTAATTCTTGTAATATACCTAGAAAAAGAATTTTTTGAGACTCTGATGAGAGAACAAGTGATTTTTACTTCTGCACGCCTGCCATGGAAGATGTACCATTTTGCCTGCAACACTGCTAAAATCAGAGTTATAATTCCATGTTGAAGCAGAGTTCAGTCCAGCATCAAGCTAGTTTAGTTTGTGTTTCTTAGTGCATCCATCAGTCTGTTGCATGTGGAGTCTGCATGGCCATAGGCAAGAATGCCAAAAGTCACAAGAGCAACAAGAGAGTGAACTCCTTTGGGGAATTATATATTCCCAAGCTCTCTTGGGCTCGCAGTAGCTATACTCAACTCTAACCAGTGATCTATTTCCCCAGGTTTCACTGACAGGTACCTTACCTGTGTTACCCCCAACTTCACTGCCCATGTGTCTGTCTCCCCTTTGTTGGACCTCTCCCCCAGTAATCTGCAGATGGGCAGGTGGTTCCCTGGGGAATGCAAAGTTGTATCTTCCTGGTGAAGATGCTCAAAAGGCAGTGCTTATAATTCCTCGCCTCCCCTTTGCTCCTTTCCTTTTATTAATAACTATAATTATTAGTAACTATAATTATAGCTAATTATAAAGGTATCACTTTGTCCCTTTCTTCTAACTTAATGATTGTTTTGGTAGAAGGATGAAATTTTGGAGTTCCCCTTTCATTACCTGGGGGCTTTATTTTCTGAATTCTGAGATTTACATTTCTTTTATTAACTGAAGCAATTGAAAGTTTTTTGACATGTTTATGGCCCATTTATATTTCTTATATGTTATTTTTTATATATATACTTCTGAATAATACTTTTTTATCCTCTCCTGAGGATATGTTTATTGATTTTAGAGAAGATGAATGGTGGGGGGAAAGAAACATCAATGTTTAGAAATATCAGTCGGTTGCTTCCCATATATGCCCTAACCAAGGACTGAACACACAACCTTTTGGTGTATAGGACGATGCTCCAGTCACCCAAGCCACCAGGTCTCAGTTGGGAATATTACTTTTAACCTCATATTCACATTTTCATTCTCTCTTTTAAGGTACATACATGAAGATAGAGCCTTCGTCTCTTCCTTTTCCCATATCGATAACAAAATTCAAAGGGAGTCTTAAGCCCACATTCCGCTAGTCTTAACTCAAGCTCCCTTCTCATTTTTTTTAGGTGGTTCGCACAAACCAGTGCGCAGGAGAATTTGTCATTACTTTCCCTCGGGCTTACCACAGTGGCTTTAACCAAGGCTACAACTTTGCTGAGGCTGTCAACTTTTGCACTGCTGACTGGGTGAGTCTGGGATGTGGTGAACTTACAGATAGAGAGGAGGAAGGAATAAAAGTGGAGGTCACTGTGAAGTGTGTAAGCATTGCAAATCCCAGGTAGCCACAGTCTTAAATTACTTGCAGCTACCAACTGGACGCCAGTGCATTGAACACTACCGCCAGCTCCAGCGCTACTGTGTCTTCTCCCACGAGGAGCTCATCTGCAAGATGGCTGCCTTTCCAGAGAAGTTGGACCTGAATCTGGCTATGGCTGTACACAAGGAGATGTTCATAATGGTGCAGGAGGAGCGACGTTTACGGAAGGCCTTGTTGGAAAAGGTGGGTGGGTGGTAGGGACAGGGCTTAGGGATTCAATGAAATAGACTGTGGAAGAGGGACAAAGACGCAACTTGAAGAGGCACTCTGCACATCTCTAAGTCAAACAGGACTTATAAAATGGAAACACAGAGACTGTGTTTATATTTTTTGCTTCCAGTTTCTTTACAGCTATCCTAACAAGGTTGAGCCCACAGAAGGGCTTAGTGTTGGCTGAGGTGGGGTGTCCACAACCCTTCTCCTAGTCTTTACAGTATATGTGGGTTGAACACCTCCAGGGTATCACAGAGGCTGAACGAGAGGCTTTCGAACTGCTCCCAGATGATGAGCGCCAGTGCATCAAGTGCAAGACAACGTGCTTCCTATCAGCTCTGGCATGCTACGACTGCCCAGATGGCCTTGTCTGCCTTTCCCACATCAATGACCTATGCAAGTGCTCAAGTAGCCGACAGTACCTGCGGTGAGCATGGGGCCTGTTTAGAGGACACAGAGGAGATTACAGAGAGCTGGGCCAGATGTGCTTTTCCCTGTCCTTTTTTTCCAGATATCGGTATACTTTGGATGAACTACCTACCATGCTGCATAAGCTGAAGATTCGGGCTGAGTCCTTTGACTCCTGGGCAAACAAAGTGAGAGTGGCCTTGGAGGTAGAGAATGGCAGAAAGTGCAGTAAGTGATGACAAATGGAATGATCCACGGGCAACTCTGTTTTTTTGTATCAGCATTCTCAGCCTCCTTCCTCCCCTTTTTTGGTAACAGTGTCTACCTCTTGGCAACTTTTACTCTGTCTCCAGGCTTTGAAGAGCTAAGGGCACTAGAGTCTGAGGCCCGTGAGAAACGATTTCCTAACAGTGAGCTGCTTCAGCGTCTAACGAACTGCCTGAATGAAGCAGAAGCTTGTGTTTCCCTAGTCCTGGGGCTGGTCAGTGGCCAAAAGGCTAGGTATGTTAGAGAAAAGGGCAAAAAAAGATGGAACTATGTGAAAATGGGTAACAAAAAAATGGACAGCATAAATAATATACGTAGCAAAAGCTAATAATAATATATGGCCATATTGCTGATGAAAACTTGGAGATAACCTAGATGAAGAATCATGTATTCAACTCCAGGTAAGTTATAGTGACAATGGCCAGATAAGACATGAAGACAAGGTAATAGGAACTAGAAATCATTGAAAATAGTCAATCTCAAACGGGTTTACAGGCATATCTCACTTTGTTGTGCTTCATGGGTGTTGTGTTTTTTACAAATTGAAAGCAAGACCCTCCACCAAGATTATGGTAATAAAGCAACAAGATTATGACTTACTTTATCATGATACTTGCTTTATTGCAGTGGTCTGGAACTGAAACTGCAATGTTTCTGAGGAATGTGTGTGATTCAGACTTCACCATAAATAACAATGGAAATGAAGATGGGATAGAAAAATTTCAGTCCTGCCATACTTGCACCTTTTATAAATGTATTCAGGCATCAGAATTTCCATAAAATTTATTCTTGTCTGTGTGGGTTAAAGTGAAATTTTCAAATTTTGCTAACTTACTGGCCATCAAATGTATATGAAAATAGATACATCTACTTTTCTGGCTGAAAAATCAAGTGAGTGATTATTTATATACATATGCTTTATAAATTCCAGGTAAGAGTAGAAAGAACAGGAGCTATTATAATGTCAAAGTCAGATTTTCTTAAATTCAAACAATTTTTTAAATATACATATGAGTGCTTCATTTATCAGTTATTAAAAATAAAACTGCTTTACATCAGTTTGTCAAAGAATTGTCCCCTCTCTAATTAGCAGTCCCCCTATACAGCTCCTCTCAGCCATAAGGACTCACACACAAATAGGTTTTCTGTCTCAGACTAATGGCTATCTTCAGAGCCTCTACATACTGTATTTTGTTTTCCTTCTGCCTTTAGAGATTTTAAATTTCAGTTTTAGTTTCAAAATGTATTTGGAATATTTTTAAAATTCAGGGTATATTGGCCTCAAACCATTTATTAAATCATTATTTCCAACTTACTTGATATGCTAACTTGATCACATAGTAAGCTTCTATAGTACAGTGAAATTTTTCAGACCCTTGTATTCATCTCTCAATTGTTCTTGTTGGTTTCTCTTATTTATTTATTATTTATTTATTTATTTATTTATTTATTTATTTATTTATTTTTCTCACTGGACAAGTGAGGATATATTTTCCATTGCTTTTCAGAGAGAGTGGAAAGGGGAGAGAAAGGGGGAAAAACATCAATGTGAGAGAGACATCAATTAGTTGCCTCTCAAACTTGCCCTCACCAGGGATAGGGGATTGAACCTGGAACATGGGTATGTGTCCTTGACTGGGGAATCAGCCTGTGAAGGCCAGCGCTGTAGCCACTGAGTGACATTGGCCAGTGCTCTTTTTTTTAAAAATATATTTGGGTGATACTGGTTAATAAAATTATGTAGGTTTCTTGTGTAAATTTCTACAGTACATCGTCTGTGTATTATATTGTGTGTTCAGCATCCACACTTTTTAAAATTATGAGGTAGTGCCCTGGCTGGTTTGACTCAGTGGTTAGAGCATCAGCCTGTGAACTGAAAGGTCCCAGGTTTGATTGTGGCCAAGGGCATGTACCTCTGTTGTAGGCTTCATCCCCAGCCTGGTCGGGGCATGTGTGGGAGGCAACCAACTGATGTATCTCTTCCATTGATGTTTCTCTCTCACCCTTCTACTCTGTCTGAAAAGCAATGGAGAAAATATCCATAGGCGAAGATTAAAATAAATGTAAAATGAATTCCCTTTTCATATAGAACCTTTCTACTGTATTTGAAAAGAAGTACAAATTTATTGCTTCAGAGTCCTTGAATGTAGAAGATGACCTTCAAACATATTAATTGCTATGACATGGAATAGAAATAAGGATATTGGATGCATGAAGTGTGGCCTTTGAAGGTTCACCTAGTGAGTCCTTTCTTCCTGATTCATACAGGATTGAAACTCCACAACTGACACTGACAGAGCTCCAGGTCCTTCTTGAGCAGATGGGCAGACTGCCCTGTGCTATGGATGAGATTGGGGCTGTCAAGGTGAGGATGGTTTCTTGTTAGCAAGAAATACTAGCAAAGTCTTAGATAGCAGGGAAGTCTTAGAAACTGATTGTCTTACGTAGCTTCTTATAATACATCACTTTTAGAAGCTATGGAGGTGGGGAGTCTAGTACTATCTTAGTCCTAATAGCTTTTAATAGGGGATCGCCTTCCAAGCAAACGTTGTAAGCAGAAAGCTACATGAAATCTGATTTTTGGGATTGCCAAACCTGAAGGTGGTGGTAGATTTTTTGTTAGACTTCAGAGTCTCAAGAAGCTTTCTAAATGATGAAATAGTATTAAAGTGTATCTGGAAAAGTAAATTTCAGATAAAGGAAAAGCAGGTTGATGTACAGTAAATACAGAACCTTTGTTCCTATCAAGCATATCACATCTTAGGACATAACTAAAGACAAGTACAAATCAACAGTTTATGTCCATGTGAGAAGATGACTAACAGATCAAACCCAGGTGATTGATTTTCCAGATGGCTAAATCTTTTCTTTATCCCATATCTCTGCAGGATGTCCTGGAACAGGTGGAGGCCTACCAAGCAGAGGCCAGGGAGGCCCTGACCTCACTACCCCCCAGTCTAGGGCTACTGCGGTCTCTGTTAGAGAGGGGGCAGCAGCTGGGTGTGGAGGTGCCTGAAGCCCATCAGCTCCAGCAGCAGGTGGAACAGGCACGATGGCTAGATGAGGTGAAGCAAGCAGTGGCTCCTTCAACTCAAAGGGGCTCTCTGGTTATCATGCAGGGGCTGTTGGTTACGGGCGCCAAGGTAGCCTCCAGCCCTTCAGTGGACAAGGCCCGGGCAGAGCTTCAGGAGCTGCTGACCATTGCAGAGCGCTGGGAAGAAAAAGCCCATTTTTGCCTGGAAGCCAGGTGGGACCTAGCCTTTCTCCCATATGTACTCTGACTCCAGTCTGCAGAGTTTGTGTGTGATGCTAAATATGGCTTCAATGGGTGACCTTGGCACCAGACTCCATTTAGGCATGTGCTAAACTGTAAAGGATTGGTGTAACATGTTCATTCAGTCTCATATATGTTCCTGCTATGTCAAAGCAATAATTAAACACATATTCCTAGACTGAGTTAGTTCTCAGATCACAGATATGACACCTGCTTTATAAGAGAGTCACATCTGCCTCATTGTTTAGAGAATTCCTCACACTTGAGTGACTATTGGTCTGTAACTCTGTTGAATCTTTTGTGGTTTATGCTTTTGGCAAGGAAACAGGACCAAAAATATACCTATATACATGTGACTTTTAAGGTTGGATTTCTCTTTCCTCCATTATGTTTAGCCAGAAACATCCACCAGCAACACTGGAAACCATAATCCGTGAGGCAGGAAACATCCCTCTTCACCTGCCTAACATTGAGGCACTCAAAGAAGCACTTACTAAGGCACAAGCATGGATAGCTGATGTGGATGAGATTCAAGTGAGGACCTTGTTTAATACTTTCCTACTGTTGGCAGGCAGCCAAAAGAAAGACACTGACTTTTTAACTGGATTTGATTAGAAAGGGGAGGCAGCCTGTTGGGGGAGGTCTAAAAAGGGCTGTCGGTATTAGGATAACAACAGAGAAAGAAGAGGTGTATGGGTCTATAGCTAAGCAGATACCATCAACAAAGGGGGGGCAGATGAATCAAAGCATAACTGGTATGAACACCTTGCTGACCAGTCACAAGTATACACGTTTCCATGTCTGAATATTGCTGACTGGTCATGAGATAACTCGTGTCTACACTTAGATTAATTTAAGTGGTTTTAAACACCTTGCTGACTGGTCACAATGGAAGAGTAGCTGGCCTCAGGGGCAAGTTGTGGCTCGAAATAGCTGGTCAGTAAGGTGTTAAGTGGATGTGGGTTTTTTTGAGGCAGTGAAACTGGGAATTTTGTGAGAAAGGTATCCCATATGTTCTTTTAGAAGAGAGTAGGTTTTCCTTATTGACATATGACTATGCAGGTAATACTCAAGATTGTTCGATGCAGTGGAGATATAATGGTGGTTGATATAATTTAAGGGAGCTTTCTATTGCCCCTTTGCCAGAATGGTGACCACTATCCGTGCTTGGATGACTTGGAGGGCCTTGTGGCTGTGGGCCGGGACCTACCTGTGGGTCTGGAGGAGCTGAGACAGCTAGAGTTGCAGGTACTGACAGCACACTCCTGGAGAAAGAAGGCCTCCAAGACCTTCCTAAAGAAGAATTCATGTTATACTTTGCTGGAGGTAAGTCCTCAGGCCCTGACCCAAAGACTCTCCTCCTCCTGGCCTACCTGGTTTGAGATAATTCAAGATTACATGTGTGATTGTAGCGTGCTCAGGGGAGAAAGAGGTAGGGGAATCCTGATCATTTCTCCTCTGTCTGCCTGCCTCAGGTGCTCTGCCCATGTGCAGATGTGGGCTCAGACAGCACCAGGCGCAGCCGGTGGACAGACAGGAAACTTGGATTATGTCAGTCTGACACAGAGCTGCTGGGATTGTCTGCGCAGGACCTCAGGGACCCAGGCTCTGTGGTAAGGGATTTGGGGGTAGATAGGGAGAAAAGCCTGGTGATAAAGTGTCTGTCCTGGGTGACCATGGTCACACCACCTGCTTCCTGGACCTCAGTTCTCCTGGTTTGGAATTAGGGTATTAATGGCACCACAGAAGGGAGGACTGCTGATGTCTTCCCCTCTCCTGGGCATTTCAGACTGTGGCCTTCAAGATGGGGGAACAGAGGGAGAAGGAGGGTATCCTGCAGCTGCGACGCACCAACTCTGCCAAGCCCGGTCCACTTGCATCATCAACCACGGTGTCCTCTGCAACCTCCATCTGTGTGTGTGGACAGGTGCCAGCTGGGATGGGAGCTGTACAGTGTGACCTGTGTCGGGACTGGTTCCATGGGCAATGTGTGTCAGTACCCCACCTTCTCAGCTCTCTAAGGGCCAGTTCCACGTCATCCCCACTGCTGGCCTGGTGGGAGTGGAACACAAAATTTTTGTGTCCACTGTGCATGCGCTCACGGCGCCCACGCCTAGAGACTATCTTGGCACTGCTGGTAGCTCTTCAGAGACTGCCTGTGCGGCTGCCTGAAGGTGAGGCCCTGCAGTGCCTCACAGAGAGAGCCATTGGATGGCAGGGCCGTGCCAGGCAGGCTCTGGCTTCTGAAAATGTGACAACTCTGTTGGGAAGGCTCTCTGAGGTTCGTCAACAGCTACAGGCTGAACACAGGTCCAAGGAGTTCCCGACCCATCCTTCATTCTCCACTTCAGAGCCTCTCAAAGAAGGCAGTGGCAAGGATATGCCTAAGGTAAATTGTGCAGCCCAGATCTTGTTGAACTTGTATCTCCTAGCACTACCTCTATTTTGGCTCTAGTCCTATCCCTGTTATCTTATTTTCATTCTCCTTTTGTCCAGCCACCTTGCATCATTGTGCATCCTGTGCAGATCTCTGGACTATTCCCTACTATCAATCTGTGTTTGTCTTTCTCCTCCAGAAGGCAGACAGGTCCCAAGGCTATTGCAGAGGATGAAGAATAAGGCCTAATTCTTCTAGTACTGCTATCCATTCTTGGCAGGTGCAGAGGTTGCTGGAGAACAGAGACAGCATGACCAGTCCTGAGAAGGTAGCCCTAGCACAGGGCTCAAGGAAGACAGGTAGGTCAGGGTGTAAGTAGACTGTTCACTGGATATCAGTACTGAACTGTGTGCTTTTCTGGAATTGAGAGTACACTGGAGGCAATATCTAACATATCTTGTCCTCAGACCTGGGCCTGCTGTCCTCACTATTGCCACAGTTGACTGGTCCTGTATTGGAGCTGCCTGAGGAAACCCGGGTCCCACTGGAGGAGCTCATGTTGGAGGGGGATCTGCTTGAGGTGACCCTGGATGAAAACTACAGCATCTGGCAGCTGTTGCAGGCTGGGCAGTGTCCAGACCTGAAACGGATTCATACACTTCTGGAGGTAAGGCACCCGGTCATGGCCAGGAGGTTACCAAGCCAGGGAGATTTACGAGGCAGGGAGTACAAGCCTAAGTGCGGACCCACAACCTCTTTTTGCTTTCCTGTGTATGATTCTAGGTGGAGAAGCTTGAGCATCAAGGCAGTTGGACAAGGGTCCAGGCATTGGAGAAGCGACCACAGCAGAAAGTAAATCTGGGTAGTAAGAATGAGGGACTTGTTCAAGAAGAGATAGAGCCAAAAAAGGCCCGGAGCTCAGGAATTAAACCTGAGGAGAATCAAGAGGAGCGAGGGTTTGAGAAGGAAGCAGATCATGAAAATATACTTTTAACACCTTCCACTGTCCATAATCACATTTTGAAAGGAAACAAAACTAACTTACGACAAAAGGATTCAGGTTCAATAACCTCTTTTCCTTCTTTAACTCCTTTGCTACACTTGTCCTACCCTCAGCAGCAAGAGTTGTGACAAGAGCACAAAATATTTTTAAATTTTTTTTATTTTGCTGCCTCCTGGTCCTTTGTGTGTCCTGGACCTTCTTTCCTATTGAGAATTTGTCACTTCAGAATTTTCAATATCCTAACTGGTAAAGGCAGTGTTTTAATGCTCAGGTCATAAACACAATACCTTATATGCTTCTTCCCAGTCTCTTGCCAGCAGCATTACTGTGACTAAAACACAGTGAGTGATTTCTTAAGCGAGTTTCATTCTAGACTGGGTCAAATAAAACTTCAAAAAGGCAAATGTATCTCATTCCCTAACCCCTTCCTGTATATTTCCTCTCCCTCTACCTCCCGTATATATTAAAATATTTTGGTGTTTCAAGGATTTCTGCACCTTTATTCTACCTCCTTTTCTTTTCTTACCTTGGTTCAATTGTTAAAAAACCCCAACAAAACAAAACATTGTATGATGTAATTACCTGTTACAGCCAACAAAGGTAGAATTAGTTCTTGGTTCTTGCTATTTTTAATTTGACTTTTGTAAAAATAAAACTTGTGTGTTTTAAACAGTGCATCTTATTTGCACTTTCTGGAATATACAAGTAAAAGACTAAAGTTAAGAAATATAAGAACATAGTCTTAAAATCCATGATCCTTTTTATGGTAACGCTGGGGTGTGTTAATTTTATACAAAGTATGAGACTTAGGTCAAGATTCACATTTTTGCTCTGTGGATCCCAATTGGTGCAGCATCACTTATTGAAAAGTTACTCAATTAAGGGCAGAGGCAAGATGGCTGCAGCATAACAGGAGGCTGTGCACCCTTGTTCCCAGCCAGGGACTGGATTTATCATTAAAAGACTTTATAGTCACATTGGAAAAATGAGAAATGTAGCTGATTGGACATACTATATCTAGTGAGCACTGAAGTAATAATATAGAGCTGTGTAAGAAGGGGAGAGTCCATGGAGTTTGGCTCAGTGGCCAGTGATACTGGCTGCAAAGCTCCCCCCCTGGGGAGTGTGAGGTCTTACCCATGCAGGGATCCCAAACCCAGAGTAGCAGAGACTAGAAGAACTGTAGCATTGGGCAGAGGGAACCAGGTGAATTCTGCCTGGGAGACTGGGACGGGACCTTCCCAGGGAAGAAGGTACCTATTGTCAGCCAAGCCTGAGAAGTTTTCTCAGGCTCTACCTACTGTGGTAGCTGTGATGTGGTCTGTGGGTCAAAAGGAGGAGGTAGGTTCAGACTCACACCTAGCAGTGATTTGGGGCACCGTCTACTTTCCTGGAAGAGATTATTACATTTCCAGTGTGTGTGAGGTTGGAACTCCTCCCCCAACCTGTGGAGGCTCATGGAATTCTACATCCTGGGGAGTGGGTGACAGAGCAGATCAGAAGTTTTAGACCCACACTGCAGAGAGTTGGGAGTGTTACCATACCTGGGATTCTCAGCCCCCACTTTGCTGAGACCAACTGTGTGGAGAGATCTGAGACTGCACAGGGCTGACTCTGTAACCCCTTCTACTTGGAGCTGTGGCTTGAGGTCACTGGGTCCTCACAGAGCAGGATTTTTGGACAGTATTCCTGGGGAAGGCTTATATTGCAGAGACTAACAAGCGAGAGCTGGGGTTTGTAACTGCATTTTGAGAAGGCTGATCCAAGCTCCCTGTGAGTTAAGCCAGGCAGCCCTGGCAAGGGGAGGTAGAACCCATCTCCCCCTTCTGCACTCAGGGAACACCACCCGCAAGAGAAGTTAGTTTGGATCAACTATACGAAATGCCAGATAAGCTGGGTGCAGTTCAGTGGCGGTTGAGAGAACAGCTTAGAGCAAGTGTGAGACCCTCAGAGGCTGTTGTCTGGGACCAAGAGGAAGTGCTTAGCCCCCCCTCCTGTGAGTTGGGCTGGAACATGCTCAGTGAGGCGCTTTTGATCAACACTCTGAGCTCAGGGCAGCTGAAACTGTTCCTGCAGAGACTGCAGACTGAACCTGCACCAGGCCACCTTAGGGAGAACTAAATTTGGAGTCTCTGGTTGAGACTGAGGAGTTTGGTTTTGAAGCAGACACTAATTTCCCCTCATTGAGTTCCTGAATGTGTATTTGCCAAGCATGGGGCCCACTAGCCCAAGCTAGGCTGGCTTGAGTCTACCCTAAAGACTCTCTTCAGAGGGCACTGGGCAAAGACCAGAAAACCTCCTGGGGAAAGAGGGGTTAGCTGGCAGGTGGAGGTGGACCTCAGAAAGCCTCAGACCAAACACAGCTACAATGATGCAGAGAACAAAACATGGATAGCTGACATTAGACGACACAAAAGTTCCTCCTGGGAAGCCTGAAATCATTATACATATTAGCCTCAGACAACATAATATACCCCATTCTTTTTCTTTACCTTTCTCCTTAATTTGGACGACTTTTTTTCCCTTTCTTTGCCCACCTTCTGATCTTTTTTTACTGTCCTTTTTTATTCTCCTTTTCAGAATCTTTTTTCTGCCTCTTTTCCTGTATCCTTATTTTTATTTCACTATTAGTATCATCTTTTTTCTCTCTTGTTTATTGTTCTCTTTTTTCTAATTCTTTTGTGGCTGTTTTTGCTGCTGTTTTCGGGATCTTTAGTATATTTTTGTTTGTTTTTATTTTGTTTAGTTTTATTTTGTTTTGCCCTGTTAGCACCTGTGCAACAGCTACAATGACTTGGTTTTGCCTGAGCCTTACAGTTATCTACCCTGAGAGGAGAGCCCATATACATGTGGGACGACAACAATCAACACCAAATTACCACAGGTGAGCCCAAATAATCCACAAAAGGGTCATTCCTAGAATATCCAGTTCAGATCATGTAGAGTGCACCACTGGGTCCCATAGGACATGTACTGCAAAATCAGACCCCAGAAAGTCTGGGAGAAACAGCAAGAATATCCTATAGATAGGAATACAAAGAGACAACTAAAATGGGGAGACAACTTCCAAATTAGAGAAAAGGAGCAATTGCCAGAAAGAGACATAAATGAGATGGAGGTAAGCAAGTTATCAGACACAGAGTTTATTGGTTATAAAGATTTTCAAGGAACTTAGGACTACAAGGAACTTATTGGGACCTACAAGAAACTTGGAACTACATCAGCATGAAAAATGACGTAGAGACCATGAATAAGAACCAGGCAGAAATGAATACTATATATGACATCAAGAATACACTGGAAGGAATTAAAAGTAGGCTTGATGAAGCAGGAGATCAAATAAGTGAATTAGAAGACAAGGTAGAAAAAAATACTACATCATAGCAGCAGCAAAAAAAGATACTTAAAAAGCATGAAGACAATTTAAGGAAACAGTGGGACAACTAGGAATGGAACATCAGCATCATAGGAAACAAAGGGATAGAGAAACTGAGGAAATAATGACAGAAAACTTCTCTAAGCTGGTGAATGAAAAAGTCACGCAAGTCCAGAAAGAAAGGAGTGTACCAATCAAGATAAAGCTAAACAGGCCCACTCTATAATTAAAACAGCAAAGTTTAGGACAAAGGGAGAATATTACGGGCAGTGAGACAGTTACCTACAAGGGGGCTCCCATAAGGCTGCCAGCTGATTTCTAAACAGAAACACTACAGGCATGAAGTATTTAAATAAGGAAAAGCAAGGATATGAAGTTAAGATGACTGTATCCAGCTAAGCTATCATTCAAAATTAAAGGCAAAATAAAGATCTTCCCAGACCAAAAAAACAACAAAAAAGCAAACATTAAAGAAATTTATTGCTACCAAACCTGCAATACAATAAATGTCAAATGGACTGATGTAAGAAGGAGAAAAAATGAAGACAGGAACATAAAGAGTAAAAATGACAGTAAATTAAGTACCAATCATAACCTTAAATGTAAAGTGCATTAAATGCTCAAATCAAAAGTCTGAATGAATAAGAAAGTACGACCCATATATATGCAATCTACAAGAGATACACCTCAGATCAAAAAACATAGGATAAAAGTGAAGGGATGGAAAAAAATGTTCCATGCAAACAGCAAACAACAAAAAAGTAGGGTTAGCAATACTTGTATCTGATAAAGTAGACCTCAAAACTGAGGCCATAACAAGAGAAAAGGAAGGCCACTACATAAGAATAAAGGGATTGAGCCATTAAGAGGATATAACACTGGTAAACATATATGCACTCAGTATAGAAGCAACTAAACATAAAAGTGTTTTTGGAAGACTAAAGAAGATTTACAGCAATACAGTCATAATAGGGAATTTTAACACCCCATTCACATCACTAGATATATCTCCCAGACAAGAAATCAATAAGGAAACAGCAACCTAAAATGATACACTAGATCAGACGAATTTAATTGACATTTATAGGAGGATATTTCACCCCAAAGCAGGATAATATACATTCTTCTCAAGTGTACATGAGACATACTCAAGATATACCACTTATTAAGACACAAAATAAGCCTCTACAAGTTTAAGAAGATTGAAATCACATCAAGTATCTTAGATCACAGTGGCATCAAATTAGAAATCAACTACAATAAAAACATTAAAGTAAATAGAAGCTAAATGGGGTGTTATTAAACAATGAAATCAAGGAAGATATATAACCTTCCTGGAAACACAAAAATGAACGTACAACAACCCAAGTCTATGAAACAGAACAAAACCAGCTTTAAAAGGGAATTTGATAGCATTAGAGGCCTCCCTCAAGAAGCAAGAAAAAGCTCAAACTGTAACAATACAACTAAAAAATTCAGAAAGAGAAAAACAATAAAAGCAAAGAGTAAGCTTAGCCAACATGGCTAGGTGGTTGGGCATTGACCTATTAACCAGGAGGTCATGGTCCAATTCCTGGTGAGGGCACTTGAGCAAGTTGCAGGCTTGATTCCTTGTGGGTGGTGTGCAGGAGGCAACCAATCAATAACTCTCTCATCATTGATGTTTGTATGTCTCTCTTCATCTCCCTTCCTCTCTCTCAACTCATTAAACACATATTAAAAAAAAAAAGCTCAGAGTAAGTAAAAGAAAGAAAAAAAGAAAAATGATACATAGAATAAAGCAAAACAAAAACAGGTGATCAATGAATCCAAACTCTGGTTGCTTGAAAAGAGACACGATTAATGAACATTTAGCCAGGCTCATCAAGAAACAAAGAGAGAGGACCCAAATAAATAAAATCAGAAATTAAAGAAATGAAGTAACAACCGACACCACAGAAATACAAAGGATTGTAAGAAACTACTATGAACAACTATATGCCAACAAAGTGGACAATCTGGGAGGGAGATGGTGGCACTCTGAAAAGGAGCAGAGTGCCCTTGTTCCCAGCCACAGACTAGATTTACCACTAAAATACTGCATAACTAGCTTGGAAAAATAAGAGAAATATACCTGAGTGGACATATTTCAAGTAAGGAGCACTGAAGAAACATCAGAGTCTGGTAAGAGAGGGGAGTGTTGAAAGGGGCATAACCCCTGAAGCCAGTGCTGGGCTGCAAGGCCCGAAGGTTAGAGGCTGCAAAGCTCCTCCACTTGAGAGTGTGGACTGGCATCCAAATGCTGAGAACTCAAA